GGCTGATAGAGCTTCGGAAAATCCGAAGAAGTTCTTCGCTTATGTTAAGAGACGCTGTGGTTCAACTTCGGTAATCCCAACTTTGATACGGGCCGATGGAACCCGTGCGTATGCGGACTCAGATAAGGCTCGTGTACTTGGAGAACAGTATGCAGGGGCTTTTGTACGTGAGGCCGCGTTGACTAGCCTTGAATTTGTCCCCAGAGTACCTGAGGGTTCTTATTTAGCTGAGTTTACTGTGGTAGAAACGCAAGTCCTTAAACTGCTGCAAGAACTGAACCCTTCCAAAGCAGCTGGACCTGATTCAATTCACCCGAAGTTTCTGCATGAGTTGGCAGTGGAACTGAGTGGACCGCTGACGATGGTGTTTCAGAAATCACTTGACAGCTGTACATTACCTTCCGAATGGAATGAGGCTGTCGTCTGTCCTATCTTCAAAAATGGCGACAGGAGTCTGTCAGCCAATTATAGGCCAGTTAGTCTGACTAGCGTCGTGGACAAACTGCTTGAAAAGATGGTGAGAGATTCGTTGGAATGTCACCTGAATAGATTTAGTCTGCTCAGTAGTGCACAACATGGATTCTGGAAGAGGTTTTCGTGTTTAACCAACTTGTTGGTTGCTGGTGAAGCTTGTACCGAGGAGGTGGACGATGGCTACGTGGTGGATGTGCTTTTCGTAGACTTCTCGAAAGCATTTGATAAGGTACCCCACTTGAGGCTATCACAAAAGTTGAGGTCCTACGGTGTATCTAGCCGCGCCCTTCACTGGGTATCTGCTTTCTTGCAGGGAAGAGAGTAGTGTGTATGTGTGGGTCGCAGCTTATCCTTTAAGCAAGCGGTCCTTAGCGGTGTCCCACAGGGTTCGGTCCTTGGACCGATGCTGTTCTCCATCTATGTAAACGATCTCCCTGGAGAGCTTGGGGTTTCATCCCTATTGTTTGCTGATGACCTTAAGCTATGGAATGTTGTAAATGTTCCTGGGGTTCTGAGGCCATACAGCGTGCACTGGACAGACTCTGAGACTGGTCTACTTTGTGGCTACTGCCCATAAATCAGGCTAAGTGTTCTGTCCTTCGTATAGGAGCAACTTTCCCGCCTTCGAGCTACTTACTCAGTGGGGTCGAACTCCCCCTTGTCTCCAACCAGGTAGACCTAGGTGTCGTGCATTCCTCGGCTTTGCATTCTGGTGACAACTGGAAGAAGGCTGCTAGTAGGGGTTTCAGAATGTTGTGGTTAATACGCCGTTCTTTCGGGGTCTTAACTGCCGACATATTTGTGAAGCTGTTCTCAGCTTTCGTCCGGCCCCATCTGGAATACTGCGTCCAGGCTTGCCCGCCCTGCCTTGTTCGGGACAAAATGGAGCTTGAGAGGGTTTTGAGAGTAGGTACCAAATTGGTCGAGGGGTTACGGGGGCAATCGTACCCCGAGCGTCTACTTAGCTTGGGTTTGTATTCAATGCACTACCGACGGCTTCGAGGAGACCTAATCCTTACTTACCACATTTTAACAGGGAAGGTTGTACCGGACTTGAGCTGGCTATTTAGCCCGGCTAAGTTACCTTGTCTTCGCGGTCATCCTATGAAGCTACACAAGCCGCGTTCTGACCGGATCAGAGCGGAAACTCGGTTATCGCGTAGAGTTATCAAACGCTGGAACTCGCTTCCAGAAAGTGTAGTCAGTGAACCTACGGTTAAGGGTTTCGAGCGTCAGTTAGACGCTCGTGGGTGGCAACATGAAACCTTTCCCTTCTCCTGACTATATCCATCTTCAAACTTTTAGTTCTTATGCTGTCATTCGTTTCACTCTTTGATGTTATCCTTCATTTTAATGACTTTCATTCCCCTTTATCTTCCATTTACTTTCTACTTCTTTCTTACTTCACGTAACCTACACAGCAGGGACTGCTAGTGCAGGGAACGTGGGCAGTAATTGGTTGATCAGGGTGTGTTCCGGGTGTTTCGTTTTAGATCTATCAAAAACCAGCACCTTATCATTTCCTGGCTCAACGATTTGCTCAAGAAGGAAGGAAGGATTTTCCTATTGTTACAGTCCATCTGAATCTGAATCTGAATCAAGAAAAGTAGATGGACTACTGAGCTACAGCTTAGTCCTGCAAAGTGTTTTTATGTGGAAACCGCATTACGCTCGTACCACGTAGCGCATGCTCCTTGAAGGAAGGAAGACTGCAGTCACGAAGACCGGTACCCCTAGAACGGAACGCGTAAATTAACCAACCACCACGATTCTGCTTCTAAATAGGACACACCAATGGTATATGCTGTGGTAGTTTATTTCCGAAAACCTATGTATAGTCGTCCTGTGGCTGTCCTGTGGAAGTCGCAGTGACAAATAAACAAATTGTTCAAACAATCGTACACTGGTGAACAGAAACGGGAACCTTTAAAACGCCCTAATACCTGGTAGAATCAAAACTTTTGGAAGCATTTTACCATCATACTTCAAGCGAACGGAGAAATCCTTGGGTCACCATAACCTATCCTAACCAAACTCTCTCTTCGACTCTACCACCACTTAGCATGGGGTGCTGAAGTCAAGGATAAGACGTCTTAACATTTACTGGGTGGTTTGGGAGTACAGACAGTTTACTCTTTAATCTACTTTACTGGCAACCGTTGCATTTGTTACCAGCCGCTAAAGACCGTTAATTGCTTATACGAAGAAATTTGCAGCCATTATTTCATGTATAGCTCTGCAAGGAGCCCTGCACTCTGCACATCCCAGAAAAAAGAAAAGATCTGATAAGATGTTTTTGACAGAAATGTGTGGTTTGTTTAAAAGTGTACATGTGGTGTAAGTGCAGTATGTAGTGATGAAAACGAGACTAATATGCTTCTGTCGGATACCAGCGAAGTACTTCCCTAAGGGACGTTCTGTCCTGGGTGCAAATACGATTGCAATAGAATATGGAAACAATGATTTTATACGGGTAGAAAGCTAACGCTTAACAGGTCCCGTATGGTGGTTATGGTGAAACTGTAAACTATAAAAAGCTTGTTTGCAAAATTGTGTTTACACCAGTGAACTCAATGAATTATATTTAGTATAAACTCTAAAGCAAAGGGAAGTCCGTAAGTAATGACGACAAATGTGATGTTGGTATGAATCGTGTCTCCTACAGGTGTACACAAACAGGAGTTGTAAAAGTAGAACAAAATCTTGGACCGTCAGTGAAACCCCTTACGGACACTTGTGTTTATCCATGGATAATTGGTCACTTAAGATGGTGCAATGAAATAAGTGCACAGTCAACTTGGGCTTCGAATTCCGCCAGCGTGGGAGCACATACGACAGATTCTGTTAGGGTATTCCATGTTCTGCAAGCGTATAGGGAAAAGAAATTCCGACGGTGTTCCAAACGGCTGTGCTGCTCATTGTACGCTAATCGTAGCACGCTGTGGCGAACAGTCACTGTCCCCACAAAGCACGCCAAACAGTCTAGTTTTATCGAAATAAAGCAAGATGCTGCTCCAAATGTGTTTTTCTACCTTAGTTTATCGAAACTCTGCTGCCGATTTGAAATGTCGCCATAACAACCAACAAATCCGTTATACCTTTTTATCTAATAAAAAGAATATATGGATATATCTGCACAACAGCCATAAATTGGTTTTTAGGATGACGGAAATGAATCTTCCGTCATCATTGTATAAGCCAAGTTTACCTGCAGAGGGCATCAAGCCATCGAGATGGTTCATCAGAACAGCCGACATAAATTTTCTGCTGGGTTGGTTTCCTTGACTCCCTAGTGGAACAAAATACCATGTTGCAACAGTACATTAAGTAGCATGTGGACCCAGTAGAGCAATCTAAGTCGAAGCAATTGTTCTACTAACGATGGAAACCAAACTGATTCGCACATGTGACTACTTTTTTGGGTTTCGAAGAAAGTAGAAGCCACGATTAAAATTCACGCACAATAATATGCCTCGACGGGGAGTCGAACCCCGGTCCACGAATTTCCGGTCCGTTGCTCTACCACCTGAGCTACCGAGGGCTGACGATTAGGTGCGCAAATTTTAACACATGTCTTCTGCTTGGTGCGCGACATGTTGCCAATAAGCTCACAGTACCTGTCCTGATGTTGGATTTGTCGCAAAATGCTCCGAAACTTGTCCACGTATGTCCGCGAAGTAGCACAATTTGAAAGATAGTATGCGTGAATAATGCTATTCTCATTGTAAAACGGTTCAACGGATGTTTCATACCAAACCGAGTCAAGCCGAAGTTTGCGAGCGAAATCGAGTTCACGGCATAACATTCAGCGCTAATCACTTCTACGATTGAACAAGCATTACACAATTTTATAAGAAAACTGCAAAGTTAAATCACTTTAGATTATGAGCTGTAACAACGCAAGGAAAAGCAAGAATTGACAATATTGTTTATCTGGTTACTCCATCCACCATTGTCATCACTGTTGCTATAAACTGCTCCCTAATTCTAAGCTAGCTCACTTTACCCGAAGAGTGCTTAATGTGAAAGTAGAAGGTCGTCCAGGAAATTAAGCAACTGCTCGCAAGTGTGTACAAAGCTAGTTCTGGTCCAAATAGCGGTACATTTGTTATGCTTATTGATTCAGATCTAGCAGTCCTTAACGCCAACCGGATACCCGGCCATTAGATGTAACCATTTTGCATAGCGAACTACCGACACTACGCGGCATATACCATAGAGAAAATAACTCTGACCTACCGATGTGTATATGCGAGCACGGTTTCTCGGTACCATGAGAAATACACCTTATTATATTTTATTAATGTCATTCTTTGACTGAAACCGTAGGCGCTGGCTTCACTGTAGTTCGGAACGAGGCTTATCAGCTTGAGCAGAAAGTCCATTTAAAGGAAAACAAACCGCAATTTAAGCGGTCTCGTTCTTGTTTCTGGACAGCATGCATACTGCTTTGTATTGCTCCTTCCTTATGCACGCTGTTAGTTCTTCATCGATATATTCCTGTCATTATTTCTAATCATCCTATAGACCCATGTGGCAGTTTTCCGTACACATCTGCATCACTCGGAGGATATTTGCCGAAACCTTTCTTAGTCGCATCAAGAGTGGTGCTTTATACAAAGTCGAGAATATTTGTGTGCGGTCCTGCTACGAATCTTCTACCTTCGGTTGGGCAGAGAAAGCGGTGTTATTCATCAGAGGACAATGGTTTTGCTGAGTGGCATGGTGAGTTTACCTATCACCATTTGGTCAGCGATACGTTGCACAGTAAAATTGCTTTCCTTGTCCTACCTCACCTCGATACACCTAGCTTCAAAATACTTCTGTTATTAACTGATAAGAATTATCAATTATTTATGGTTTAACGGCCGTTTGACTTATCACCAAATTCTGCACACATATGTCTTTTCAGCAGGGTAGAACAGTGGGTCCTCCTCAACCAAGAAGAAAAAACAGGTTAGGTTTTGTCAACATTTTAACTGTTCCCATCAGTCGCAAGCACAAGACAAGTAGAACAAGGTTCACGTGTTCAGATTTCATTGTCCTTGCGACTGATGAGAACAAGCAAAATGTTGACATACCGCAAAGTATGTTTCCTCTCCTCGTTGGCGAAACGTATGCCTATGTCAAAGAATTCCTTCCCTTTGTTCAGAAGTGATAAGTTGGAGACAGAGTTGCTTTAATTTCAAAAAGAAACAGTGAATGTATGAGCTTTGACAAGCTATTGTCAAAGGGTAAAAGTTATCAACCGCACTTCTCAGCCGTCATTCAGTCAATCAAATGACATCTACTACAATTGCTTACATCCTCCTGTAAATAATCATTCATAACTAACATGGCCTATCAACTTCACTTCGCTATTCCAATCATAGTAGGAATTGTCAACACACTAGTGAGCGAAAAAGACTACTTGATCAAGAACAAGGCACCGAAGGTAAACAATTGTTTTCGATGAATTCCTTGATGACTAAATGGGAATTTTCCAGTTACTACTTGATCAGTTGTGCAAGATACGGGACAGAAAGCAAAGTTATCTCCAGGTCCTGATGTATTGTTCGACAATCGGTTTTGCCGTTTACCACGGTGAGACCATCCACCTAGATTTGAGTCATGCCACAAATTTCGTGTTACATGCCAAAATGCTTATGAATGATACCAAACTAAGGGCGTATTAAGTGATAGTCTCTTTTAAAGTTTGCGCTGCGCTTGAAAATATTCTGGATGTACCCGGAACTTTAAGTGATTATAGTAACGAAAGTGAATACTTAACAGTAATACGCATTATAAACAAAAACACTATTGCTAAATCCTTGAATTCGTCGCAATCAACCGAAAATTCCGCTAATTCAACTGCCAATTCAGAAAGGCACCAGAAGGCCGTCTCGCCCTATTTGGGATCGTCAGTGGTGCACATCCTTCGGTCTTCTTCCGAGGATCCAACTCATAACTGCTAGTACCTTGCATCAAATAGCCCGCAGCTTCAGCCACTAAGCCGTGCTATGTCTATTCATAGCTGCCGTAACCGGGAAGTCCTGACGCCGGAAGGCCAACTACTGTCATCTGCATGACAGGTGTCTGCATGAGAGTGAAGGATGGGTCGGGTCATATTCTAGTTAGCTAACAAATCCTGATGGTCAGCTAGCTTACCCCCTGGCTCAGTGGTATAGACTGCGGGATAGTTGGCGTATGCCCATAGCAGTCATGGGTTCGATCCTCGGAATAGGACCGAAGGATACGCACCATTGATGAGCCCCAATAGGGCGAGATGGTCTTCTGGTGCTTTTCCGGATTAGTGATTAAGTTATCTAAATTGGCAGCTGATTGCGACGCACTCAAATATAATCGAAATTCTTCTACTCATAAGTACTACTCTTGATAAAGTTTATTTAACAAGTCACTTTAAACTGTACCTCATTCCGCTTGGAGGAACAGAAGTAAAAATTGCCGAGATGATGCGATCTTAGTTACAAGTTTTAATTATGGCAATCTTTTAATTAAATTTGTTCTTAGCTCAGCTTTCATGCCGCGACCAAGTGACTGTAGCATAGTGTAATATTCCATCAACCCAGCGGACGATTAACTAGAATATTAGCAGAAAGTCATATAGAAATTGACGCGGTAAAAATTTATTAACTAACTTCACGGGTACGCACTTTGTTGCACTGTGCGAAACTCAGGCCAGCGTCATGCTCATAAATTTGACCAGCAGTTGATTTCTACTCGAAGTCATACCACATAAATAGTAAACGTATTTCAGTTATGTAGTCGGGCTTTTGGAGCTTGTCGCTTTGTGTATTCAAAGTAGCCATGGCTCAGTTCGGGAGAGATTCTTCTATATGAAGCTTTTCCTTTCACAGACAGACGGTCAAACACTGACCCAGCCCTTTGATTAATAGCTACCATTTTGTGCTTGTTAGGGGACGGTGGTATGTCGAATTAAGTCTAAAATCAAAACAGTCAAATTGTGAGGCAGCGAATAAGCGCTTTTTCCATGACCCTCGTCAGGCTTTTACACTACTACTGATAGGAATACAATGAGCTAAAACATCAGACAAGGTTAAAGTCCAAGGGTCTAGGTCATCTAAATGACTAGGTCACGTGCTCGGTTCAGAACCAGTCAAGGTCGTCTCAGTGGCATATTCCCCAACACGCGTTACTGAGATACGGGGCCAGGATAAAGAGAGATGCTGGACGAACTCCTTTTGAACATAAGTCTGTTACGTAGGGCGAATAGCAATCGCTTCCACTGTTGCTATTGAGCGACATCATACCGCCCGTGTTTGGCATCCAGGTACACGGTACATGGACTAAAAACATTGGTAGGTATAGATTTGTTGGTTAAAAGCAAGCATATATGCCAACACGGAGTTCATCATTATTTTCGTTCCACCTACGCACAGCCAAATCCGGCAATGCTTACGGATTCTTCCAGACAACCACCTAGTAGTTCCTTCGAAGGATCCTGCCCGACATGAACAAGTGAAGACGTATACACAAAAGGATGTAGTTTACTGAGGAAGATTGTCCTTGACTTGAAGCCTCAAGATAGGCGTTGAAATAAATCTTAGCCATAAGCTTACTGTGTAGTAGGTATGGTTTCTGGTGTCGGATAGCCTCGTAGACGCCTGCGCTATTCCATCCCTTTTGAATGGTAATGACAGTAAACCAATTTCTTGTCGACAGAATCCGTTTTAGCCCACGCTTCTCGGCACTTTATATTTCTCCGAACAAACTTTACGAAACAGCCATTTCCATCAAAAAGGCCAGGTAAGAAATTCAGCTCGTTCGATAGCGTGGCCTCACTACATATCCTACTTACCCTCCCGATTAGACATCTAATCAAGTTCCGCTTGTGTTTTTGTGGGACATAGTTGGCAAAGTCTATAGATTGTCCAGTTCACGTGACTTTTCTGTACACTCTGCGTTAGATCGACCCATCTGATCTTTCCCTAAGTTGGATGGCTAGGAAAGACATCGTACCATGGCGTTCAGATTTGCGGGTGAACTTAGCATTGTCAGGCGGTGAATTAAAATGGAATAAAATGATCTCCGTGCAACGCTGAATGTCTGGCACACAAATTATATCATCCACGTATCGACCGTAGTAGGATAAAAGGCCAACAAATCTCCTAGCAGCGGTCTTAGTGGTAAGCTCATCGCTACTCCGTCCTATTGTCTGTATATTACCCCATTAAACTTCAGTAGTATCTCGCAGTACCACCATGAGTAGCTGTTTTAACCAATTGTTCGAAAGACCAATGTTCAACTGTTGTGCTTACACGGAGTCGCACAGACTGTCTATTGCCTCTTCTAAAGGAACATTTGTGTATAGCGGCTTTCTGAGCCAACATCTCGCTTCCGGTTAGCTAAAGATGTTGTATGGAGTCTAAGAAGCTTAATGTATGACGGAGAATATATCTGAATAAAACTTCTCGCACCGGTTCTAAAAATTGGATTGCCACTTGGCTATTGCTTGGTACAGTGATTTGCACATATCCAATATGAGTCTAAGTGGATACCCCTCTTTATGTGCCTTCGGTAAGCCGCAAAGTCTTGAAGCACCGCCCCGTGAGTGGAAGGTGTTCGAACTTAGCAGAGTCCATTGTCTTTTCTTGTTTGAAGAGGCTTAGAAGCTTGGTAACAGTCTTTTCACTTGCTGCTGTTTTGTCCATCTCATTTATCATTTGACGAAAATGCGCAATTCCTGAGGACGACCTGCATCTTGGCAATATACTCAGCTTTCTCTATCAGAACGATCCGTGCCTCTTTATTCTGCATGGAGAGTAGCATATGCTCGTTTTGATTGAGCGCTTCGAGAGAGTCTAAGTAGTCTTTCTTCAGCAACTACTTGAATTTGCTTATGTGTTGTAGCTACTAATAACTTGTATTAGCTTTGGGTTGGAATATATAAATATATGGATCCATTGTACACAAGTTTCATATAGTATGCTTATACGCAAGCATCCTGCTCCTTGTATATGCTGGAACGAACCCATTACTTCCCACATTCTATCAGCTTTACAACAATTCCGTAAAATTGCGCCTTTAAAAATGTACGGGAAGTCTTGAATATTTTGAAGATATTCGCGTATTGAAGCATCTATGTCAGCTGTTTGTAGGAAGGCTCTACTGATGAGTGCTTACCACAGGAGCTAATAAAGACACAGTATTAATTTTCACCAGTTTAGTTGTTCCACACTTTATTGTGCAATTATTGGTCGATTACTATAAAACAACCAGCCGATGCTGGTAAAAGTGTCTGTATACCATTTTTGTTCTACAGATTTAGGGCCCATTGTCTCCCAAGTTCTGACCTATCTACCAAGTGCTGGGTTGCTGTTTGGCATTGGATCGGATGAGAAAAGTTTGTTGATGAGTCGCGATTTTGGCAAAACTTGGGAGGGAATCAATATGTTCGAGTATGAGAGACACGTGGCGGGATCTTCAGATTCAATCAATTCAACCACTGCACCAACTAGTGTACTGAAGAGTACTTTCGATTCCACCAACTTTATAGGCGCTTGCAGCGCCAACCTGTCAAACGGTTGGTATGGTAAGTAACAATTGTATAATTTTCATTAAGCTGCAAGCCATCAAATTAAAGTAAATCGCTTTGCTCAAAAGATAAATTTAGGTAATATTTCCCAGTGATGTACACCCTGTTTCGAGCGCCTGAGATAGGCTGATTGATGTGAAGTATCTAGAATTTCTCGGCAGTTCAGTCTAAAGCGAGTTCTAACTCTTTCCTTATTGCTTATAATAGGATTGTCTACCACAAAGTTTTAACAGCAAAACTGTGAACACGGTTTGTCCAATCATCTTCATATTCAGGGACGGAAATGATAGCAAACTTCCACAGCATTCCTTCTTAAGCAGATCATCGAGCCAGCAACTGGTAATGTTACCATAAGAACTTATACATTTAAAGGGAAATACCCGATCCACATGCTGGTATACCCGTTAATGTTCACTTTTCCTTCACTGACAGTCCCTGATGTGCTGGGTACAGGAAGCTAACAAACTTTAGGAAGAACATGGAAGGTAATGAATAAGAGAGAGCCTTTTAAATAAAGGATAATAACAATGAAATAAAGCACAGTAAATGGAATCAAAGTATATAGCTAGATATGGTCAGGAGCGGGAAATGGTTTATTATTGCCAACCAAGATAGTCCAACTGACGCTCCAACTCCTTAACCGTAGGTTCACTATCTACCTTTTCTGGAAGTGATTTTTAACCCAAGAAAACAGCACGAGAAACGAGCTTCTACTCTAATCATATCACAGTGCAGCTTGTGCAGCCTCAGTTTATGACCGCGGTGACCATATAACCTGAGCGGACTAAACAGTCAAGTCAATTCCATTACAATCTTCCCTGTTTAATCATCTTAAGTGAGAATCTGGCCACATCAAGGCCTTCGGTTATGCATTGAATGCTTTCCCAAACTTAGTATTCGCGCGGAGTACGTGAGATTTGGCAACATCTCCACCAACCTAGTGTTCTTTCGTTAAACCCAATTTGGCTCCCTTTGGTCCCGGACGAGACAGACTAGTGATCCTTAGCGCATTACACCAGATGGGCCGAAGGAAGCTGCGGTCAGTTCACAAATATGTCATCCGTTGTGATTCCGGAAGAATAGCGTATTGGTCACACTACTTTCAACCTTCATCCACTTGTTGCTCGAGTATAGCGTCGAAGAATGTACGAGGCATCGATCAGCGTGGTTGGATACAGCGAAATTCAACCCTTGGACCACCCAACTCGATACATGACGACTTCCACCAAGACGAAGAACGAAGCACTGTCTTATTTATGGGCAGCAACCATAAAGTAGACCAGTTCTAGAACCTATTCTGGGGTCGTTGAATAGCTTCAGAACCCCTTAGAACATCCACAATGTCCCACAGCTTCAGCTCATTAGCCAATAACGACACTGATAGCCCAAGCTCCGCACGGAGTACTTACTTAGGTAGTGAGCATTAACGTTTCAAGGATCAAACCTTACGGAACGCTGTTGGGAACAGCCTGCCTAGATGATAGGCTGCAACCTTCAAGTGCACACTGTTATTTTCCACTCCAGAATGCAGAAAAGCAGTGAACGAATCGACCAGATAGCCCACAAGAGTTTAGGTTTCGCGAAAGCCTTCGATGGTGCAGCGTGTCAAACCCTTCTGACAAAGCAAATAATAGCAGAGTTACTGCGTGACCGGTGTCCACTACACCAGCTATAAATAAATTGGGCTAATACAACAACCCTATAACAATCCGTACTAGGATGGCCTAAAGTATCACACCTATTTTCAGACAGTTTGACTTCCAGCTCATCAGATTGATTGGTCTGTAACTGACAAGCAGACGCTCGTCACCACTGATGAAAAGGGTACAGATTATAGCTTTTTCCCATCCAGGAGATAAAATGAATCTTAAGTGGTTATTAAGTTGCCATGGTAATTAGTCCCCTCAGCTCTATGGCATACTCAAGCAGCGAAATCGAGTAAGTTAAATTAGACCTTGATGAGTTAAGGTTGTTCAGGTTTTACAGCGGTCTAAGGACGCGTTCCTGCTACAGTACATCCAGCCAGGCACGAACGCACTGGGACTCTCGCAACCAGTATAAAGACTGTCAACCAGATCTCATATGCAATGGCTTTTGCATTCTGCCCACCAAACACACAATCTCCGTCGTGGCCAGAATACGCATAGGTCCTGTCGGCTTGCATCAGTGATGAAATCAACGAATGCAAACTGTTGCGTCTTTTGACACAAAGATTTCTCGGTATTAGTTGACACTGAGCCAACTTTACCCTTCGTTTACACGAGCCGAGCAATTCTAAAGTGCAACTTGCACTGTTTTTGGATTCCTGGTAGCTGTCATAATTACAGGTTGATGGAGCGGTTCAACAGTCCACCAACATCTAAGGTTCTTCAGGAGCATGTACAGGTTGATGGGTGGCTTTGCCAGGGGGTTTCTTTCTCCTCTTGAGCGGGAGGTAAAGAGCAGAGATTTTACTGAGGGCACTTGATTTCATCTTGGGCAACCTAACCAGCTCAATTAAACAAATGTGTCTTACGGGCAAAGTTCAACCGCTTAACGAGTCCTGTGAGATGGCCATAATGAGAATCATCGAGATCTCACGATGCAAGCTGAAGCCTTAGCTTGCCTTGTCTGATAGTCCGCATACCATATGTTTGGATACAACCCAAGGGTAATCTTGTGACTTCTAGACTGAACACAACTGATGAATGAATGGACGTGCACAAAAACTCCCAGAGTTGAGCCGTAAGTAGTGGCACCCACGAAATCAAATAACTTAGCAAGTACATACAGAGTTCTCGTTCCACAGTTTTCTAACTACGAAGTAATGCTTTATTTCAACCAGTGTAACCTGAAACGGCTCATTTCGCGTAATTACTACCACTGCTTCCGTACACTTTCGTTTGACGACCATGCTAAATTGCCTGAGAACGCATAATATGGCCAAGTTTCGACTATTCTACTGAGGTATATTTCAAGAATAACTGGCGTTTCTTTAGCTGCAACATTTAGCATTGTTTTGAGGAAGTGCAATGACAACTCTAGTCCGTACGACTGCAGTAGCAATACCTCTGCACTTTTCTGATCAGTCAATCCAACCTTTTATTCTGGTAGGTGAGTAGACCACTGGACGACGCAAGGTAACGCAACGAATACAGCAGAGATTGAACACCAAGACTAGAAAGCATAGCAGAAGTGGTCATCAAATTCTGCACGTTATGGTGTCTAACATATGACCCAATGGACGTGTTTTCTATTCAGTTGTATGGTAAAGTGACCACATTCTGTTAGACTGACGAGCCTGTATTCGACAATTTCTCAGTTGTCTGAAGCGAAATCTGCCGCCAGCCATGAATTCCCATTTTAGCACATCTTGAAGCCAGTTAACTACGACTTTGCTCTCACTTGCGCTAAGGTTTCATCTACTGCAAGGCTGGTTATCGGGTGAATATTGGATTAGGTCCGCTCGCAACAATGACGTCTATGACCGGATTGGACTCTGCAGCGCTTTGTATGTATGCATGGCGGCAACGTGACTCAAATCGAGGCCCTTTGGGATATCAGCCGTGGTTTATAGTTCTAAGCCATCAAGACGCTGCGGGCAACGCCTGTCACAAGGAGTAATAATTTATTGGAGAAAGCATTTGCAAGCATGCGTCGCTCGATTGGACCACAACACGCAAAACCCATGTGGACCGCGTTTCAGCAATACTAAAAACGAAGCTTTACTACACGCGAGATAAACGTTGTAGTAAAATGCCTTCAAGGATACTTGTCACAACTTCGTTTCAAATGGTCGCTAAAACGTCAAAAGCTGGGCAGTCATTTTATTAAAAGGACACATTACTATTCAACTGAAAAGGATGCACCTCCATCGTACGGCCACCGGTTACATACGGCAAACTTCCGAACTTGTTGATCACGCTTCAGACTATGCTATAGATTATCCGCGTCGTCAGTGAATGTCAAACTGATATACATCGGGCTGCACTTATTCACATATTCTTTTGTTTATTTATTTATGGCTTAATAAACAAGGTACGTCTGAAAAGTTCGGTGAATGGTCCCGTATGTTTAGAAGCTCTCGGGTTAAGATGAGGGATCAGAGCATGCGCATCAAGAAACATGTCAACAAGCACCCATATCGTGCAAATCAATGAACTGAAGAAGTAGTCCTAACAGAGACCAAACTAACGGAGTCAGTGTGAGAACCCATGTTAATGCAAAATGGAACGCAGACTGAAGCAATGGGTAACATGAAGATTTACTTCAAATTAGGCAAAAAGGCACAAGAGACTCGTGAACTGCTATTGCATTTGCACGCTATTGAACCAGTGAATAAATACTGTGTGTTTGAGTGGTTTAAACGCTTTAAGGATAGGGAGAAAATGCTGAGGATGAGCAACGTTCCGGCCGACTGTCAGCATGCGTAATCCCAGAAAATATCGAACGATTGTGACGGATGTTTGAGGATTATCGGCGGCTACCTATGAGAATGCTAGCAGAAGAGTTGAAGATAAGCAGAAACATGTGTACAGTATTGTTTACGAACATCTGAGAAAGCAAAATATTTGCACCCTGTTTGTACTACACACGTTGACAGACCAGCAGAAGCAAACTCGGACGGAAACATCTGAATATTTCATCCACATGTCTGCCAGGAATCCGCAATTATTGGAAACCATTAAAACGAGTGATGAGATCTCATGCTACCAATGGGCCGGAGACTTCTTTTTGGCTTCCCCCTTTAAATTAGCCTTAAAAGACGGATGTCCAACAATGCGTGACCACGGTGCTTCTAGCGATGCTACAAAAAGCGTTTGTTGAGAGTTCCTAACAGCTTTACAAGAGATGTCAGAAGTGCGTCATGGCTAATGGCGAGTACTTTGAAGGCCAGTAAAGGGATTTCATTTGTAAACCATGCTTTCTTTATTTTCTGAAAACATGCACCGAAATTCTCAGATGTTCCTTGTAAATTGACTAGATAGTCAGCTGTCTCTAAGATGTTGATTAAAGGCTGGACATTGGTTTGAAGTGAGGCCCACCATATACATCTGTGATCATAGAGAATGTGACAGCGAATGTGGGTGGAAATTTAGGCTATACTGATGATGACTTTCTGTACTTCTCAGCTGATGATTTGGGAGGATTTACGAAAGTGAAAATTTGTTGGCCTGTTGGAAATAATACAGTAGGCAGCCGAATAAAGATTGCACATTCAAAATCAAACCGAAAGTATTTCCTGGTAATAGGAGGAAGTAGTCCGTTTGAATAAACTGTGGTTAGGATGATATCCAATTTTGGCTTTTGTCGGTTAGCGTTTCGTTACATTCGGAAACGACTGTGTATAAGATAGTACATGATGTTTTTGAGTATCGGGCGTGTGTCTAGATTGCAGAACACCATTCTAACTGGGACCATGATTTACTTCGAAATAACTCTGTGCGATTTTGATCACTCGGACCACATCCAAATTGGTGAGTCTCGGTGCTGGTAGCTTTCAACACTGCCCAGCATGATTAATTACGTCATCGTTTAGATAACGCTGGCCTAACTAGCCTGAGCTGGGAGCGTACTCTGGCACACAGTGGTTGGCCATGGATGCTTGATTGCCGGACACTTAAGCTCGGTGAGCTGTGGTTAACACATAGGTTTGATGTTTATTCTTAGGGTACCCAGCGTGTGTCAGAATTACAGTTTCACGTCCAACTCAGTCTAGCCCTAGCTGCACAATGCAAACAAAGACGAAACCTGTTGTTGGATGTGGTGTTGCCCTAGAGTACCACCGAAACACCCCAGTTCGGATGCGATCCCTGTGATCGAAATGACCGAGATTCGTTTCAACGCAAACCGTGCATGCCGCAATTCAAACACACTGCAGGAGCTCCAAGACCCAACAATTAACTTTTACCTGCAGTGTAAACAGCTGTAGGCGGGGTTTATTGGCTTAGTGTTCAACGCGTCAACTTTCAACCCCTATGTGTCAGGTTCCACTGCCAGTCCGGTGCATGTTTACTTATTTGTGTGTCCCTAATGCATACCAGTTTGTTAACATCATTTTCCTTTCGGATGAGTGATAGTTAAAGGCATTGGATTAACCTAATAATCTTGCCACTGAGACACGAATCCCAGCACTTATCGAGCGCCAAGAGTGGCTATGACAGACTAGTCCATGAAATGTAAGGTTTTGACGCTCATATTATGCATATGGAATCATACCAATTTATCGTGCTTTTCTGTTTAGCCTTACGCATATAAGTACAAACAGGATACTTGGTCCTGGAGGGAAATAATGTAGTTACGGTCAGAAGTATTTCCGGTATGATCTCGACAAATCATCTTCAAACAGATACTTGCAACACTTATATGATTGCACATACGGCAGCAACACGTCAACGCTGATGTTAGTGCGTAGTATGAACTATGCCGTACTTACATTAAGTTTATTTCAGCATTCCCTAGGTGGCTGATTTCTGAATGATGTGGAATTTTTGTAGCATGCTGGATTTTCCCATTGCCTACCATGGTCATTTCTAAACGAAAGATCTGTATACAGCAGTCATCGTCCTCTACACGTTAACTTTGTCGTCCTAGGTTACAAGTGGAATGTTATGGTATCAAAATCAGCCACTTCGCAGATGTTCTCAGTGCAACCTTGCGTTAAACCACGGTTAACTGTTAGCGATTTCTTCCCGTCAAATGACAAGTTAATTTCACTACGCTGAAACAGTCCCTCGCTGTTCGTTTACAATATCAATGGGCTTTCTTAGTGATTGAGTAGGTAAACCAAGATCCCTTAATAAATCAATTGAACAAAACGGTGACTAAGAATACAAACTCGGTTATATAGATTTGGTACGGCAATAGCATAGATATTAAAGTTGTAAAGGATCTTCGAGTGTAACCAACAACCTGATGTCCATCGAGAGGTGTAAAGTTTGGGCTTTTTATCCAGAACATGCCGATGACCATCAACCGATTGTATAACACAGCGCATTCTCAAGATGTTTAAAATCATTCAGTACAATTCAAAGGGTTAACTACAAATTCACTGGTAAAATTCCGCAACGTAGTATTGGGCTACGTTAGCGCCATACAACTACTGGTCTAGTAAACCATGATCCAACGGTCTCATCACCAGTTACGTAACAGACACACTTCCATGAATTATTTGATACAGTAAACGTGCAGTAACGGTAATCCGTGTTTCCCGGTAACTAAAGGCATCCTAGTTAAACGCAGTTGTATTTACGACAGTAAGTGCGTCACAGTGCGTTGTTCCGTTCATTACAAATGCGTGAAAGATCCACGAAATACGAGTAACTGCCTTAAATCACTGCAACCTACCGGAATAACGCGGAGTACCGAAGTGTCGTCCCATTGATACTTTTCAGCTTAAGCAAGCAAACCGCACCGTGTTTCTTCAAGAATTTGAGCATTTATAGTTCGGGACTGAGAGCAGTTACATTGTGTTCATTTACAACACACAACCTTGTTCTCAACATCCTGAAAACTTTTCACCAACTAATGCGTACCTACACACCCACCATACTTCTTGTAATATCAAATGTATAATAAAGCTCTTTTGATCAACTTCATACTACTGACCCACAGCCTTTCACAGTGCACAACAGTATAGTAAACAGACAGGTCATTTTTTGGAATATTTTCGAGGTTGCACGTAAAAGCTCTTCAGTAAACGGTAGATGTCACTTATGAATGGAAGGATTTTGGTGAGTATTTTTGTTCGTCGCAATCAGCCGACAATTCGGATATGCCGGCCAGCTGTCCGGAAAAGCACCAGACGGCCGTTTCGCCCTATTGGGGCTCATCAGTGGTGTGCATCCTTCGGTCCTCTGCGGAGGATCGAACCCATGACTGCTAGTGGCTCTTGCCAACTAGCCCGCAGCTTATGCAAATGCGCCATAAGTAATACCAATTCGCCCGTACGGATTCCACAAAATGCTATGTCGATTCATAGCTGCCGTAACCGGGAAGTCCTGACGCCGGAAGGCCGACCGCTGTCATCTGCATGGCAGGTGCCTGCATGGCAGTGGAGGATGCGTCGGGCTATATCGCATTCAGCTAACAATACACGATAGTCAGATACCGTCCTCCATGGCGCAGTTGCATAAGCTGCGGGCTAGTTGGCAAGAGCCACTAGCAGTCATGGGTTCGATCCTCCGCAGAGGACCGAAGGATGCACACCACTGATGAGCCCCAATAGGGCGAAACGGCCGTCTGGTGCTTTTCCGGACAGCTGGTCGACATATCCGAATTGTCGGCTGATTGCGACGAACAAAAATACGGTAGATGTCATTTAATGTCATCATATGGCAGAATAAGCCATGAGTTATCATACAGTTTGTGCAAAGGATGGCGCAAAATGATTCCATATCCTCTATAACATCTTGTACTTTCAGCTTGCTACAAAGGTGTGTACAAGGAAAATGTGCAACGGGTGGACTGGAGCTCAAGCTGTGAGACTATTCAACCTTTCCCTTAATCATAACTGTCACTCTTCTTGTAAACGATTAGTTTAATCATAAAATTCAACTTTCTCAAGAATTTACCGACTTTCTTTAACTTGTTGATGTTTTTCAGCCTCTGGTTTGTGGTGGTTTAATTTTGTCATTCCCAGTTTCATTTTTCTCCATTAATACAGAACTTTGTTTCATGGCCCGATAAGCTTAGATCCATACTGCATGAAAACGGGCTTGCTGGCTATGTAGGGATGCGATGATTCTGCCCATTTTGAACAGTTAATCGTTGTATACTACAAACGCTGTAGGTGACTTAGCTCCGCATGCGCTGATGCATTCGGTAGAGTACAACTGAAGGGACTACCAGGTAGGCATATCCACCTCGACGCCAGAAAGCATATGCTGACCGAACGGTTCAGACCGATTACGAACGTCAACATGCGTAGTTTGTTGTTATATAACACGTATTCAAGCAGCTACTTGTGTTAAACATCGTTACCTGGTTCACCTCAGTTGACGAATGATGTATCTTTCCAACAATATACGCAAATAGGGCACGAATGACGAAACCATAACACTGTGTAGCACAGATTTTGTTCCTGGGTTTTAAGTGCTATATTTCAACTATTCATGTGTGTATCATAAACAGAGACACCTATTTGCATCACAGGCTGAGTTGATGACCAAAACCCACAAAAGTTTAGGATTTGTAGATTAAAAGCAACGAAATTTATATGGAACTTTTATTCCACTTAGCAAACAAAAACGAGTGATATGGTTGGCGGCATCCGGTTTCCGATTTGCCTGTCACTGTGGTCAGCCACAGGACGCCTGCGCCTGCAGAGGGACCATAGATGGCTTGTGCTGCACCACCCACAGCTCCAACCACACACCCCATATCCAGTGTAAACCCGAAGGAATAAGACCGGGAGGCCTGTGGGTGGGAGCCACGTTTCATTAACGGAGCCGGCCCACACTCCTTCACAGACAAACACAAGCACGGTATTTGGGGAATTAAGCGCACACAAGGCGGTGGCTGGACCATAGTCCGCTCCACACTGAGTGCATGGAACCACTCTTCGAGCCTAGCACGACCACAATGACCGTGCACCCCGTCCCCTCCAGCAACGATCAACTGTCTCCTGGAGCCAGATGGACGAGGTAGTGGGTAATAGACAGGTAGGCGCCTTGTCAACATGCACATCAAGCGCAGCCACACCTGGGGTGTCAAACAACAGCCAATCATTCGAAATGCCGATATCGATTAAAGTAAACGCATATGACGACATAAATACTCGCTAAATGAGCATTTAGAAGAAATTGGTTATTAGTGAATCCGTGATAAGTACAAAATGTCCGAAAGTTATTTAATAAATACCACACGATAAAAATTGCGCAAGTTTACCACAATTTGCGTGAGCGACGTGTGCAAGTAAGGAGAAGATTATCAAGTACGCAGAACAAACCAAATAACATGTAATGAATTTTATCCACATTAAAAAGACCTAGTTTAAGTGTAAGTTGGTTTAGCCCAACTGCGGTGAAGAAGCATCATGAATGCAACATCAGCCTCCGCTATCGTAAATATACACAAAGATAGGCCAATAACAGAACAGTCCACAAGATTGCCTGGATGTTATGAATTTTCGGCAATAGTGTGAATCGCTTTATAGAGGAAAGCCTCAAACATGGTCCTCATCATGTTTTATTTATAGTGGCCTTGGTAACAAAGTTCAAATCCACTATATACTGGTGAAACTTTCGCCTTTCTGTGCTGCGCGATCATGTTCTCCTTGAATTCATCGAGATTGGCATAAAGAATAATGACTCTCTGGGTTAATATGTATCCGATTTTAGCATAGTTTTCTATGAGAGTCTTAACTAGTTGCTCACACTTTTCAGCCTTGTGATTGTTCAGGAAGCCGTAAAACATTGTCACGAAAAGATTCCATGCTGCTTCCTCCTTGGAATCAGCACACTTTATAGTTTTTGTTGTCTGTGGCTTTTAAGACTAGTAAATACTAGTCCGAGACGATACGCATAATCCAGCGCAGATATCAGCAGGTAAATGAAGTCAGATACAGCGGATTATATTCGAGAGGCTAAAAGTGATGTGGACGGATGGAGCACCATAACGACCCTCGTCTTAAGAAGAAACGTACAACGTTTGAGGCTGTATCCTCACTAACCGCGGCGATCCTCCAAAATGTTGTTCGTAAGGTCCACTCGATCAAAGGGGCGAGTTAGGGCACGTAGAGACGAAAAGGAGAAAAACACACGCAGAATACGCCAACAACAATGAACGAATGTCCTGCGCGTATGCAGGTTTATATTTCGTTTCGATTTTTGGATGGTTTTCAGGGATTTTCGAACGATTTTGACTTTTGTGTTTTCATAACGTTAATCAACTAAAAACGGGGAAAGATATAAAACATGTACAAACTTATACTTATCTACACTCTATATACTCGGAAAAACAAACTAGCTTACCAACCTGCTGACCACGGCGGTTGGTCTTTGGAGGCGACAGTTTGGGTTCGGAAGCTATTATCGGGACGGTTGATGCTTGTAGACCGGGATATTGGGCTGAGTTGACGTTGCTAGAATAATGAAAATTAGTGGGTTATTTGACGTCGGCCGTACGTGACATCGCCTGAGTGAGTTCCAGTAAGTTTTAGGATATTGATTGCGTTGGAAACATACCTTAAAAACCGATTTTCTGTCCGCCTCAGCAAGTCTGGCTTTAAACTTCAAGTACTTATTGAGGTCTTTTAACGCTGCGGGCAGCTTGCTTCTTTTCAATTCGTGAAATATGCCCATAGAGAAAGCAACATACTGCTCAGTTTTAACGTCGCACAAAGCATTGCCACATGATGGAGGCGAAGTTGTTTCCTGTATATAGGCTGGATCGACGGTAGCGATTTCGTGTCGTCCAGGGCCGTCGATTTTAAATGTTTTACTTGTCCGGCTGATTCCTTTGAAAAGTCCAATGTACGGCGACTGCGGAAGCTTTCGAACACGGACTACGAAATGCAGTACGTGCGATCAAGTAGGCAGTTTTTCGGGCATATAAACCGGCGTCTTCTGTAACCTTGATGCGGGCGGACGCAGCTCATGCATTGGGTGAGCCAACTGATCGGTGTAATTTCTTCAGTCGAAAGAGGAATTTGATGGTGCTGGTGCTACCAGCAGTCCGGCAACACCAGCGTACAGCGATAGACTAGCTGCGCTGTTGTTTCGTAGAAATTGGTTTTAACTGTTCCTAAGAGAACAACAAATGAACATTGGTTTTATACGGGTAAAACAAGTGAAGCTTAACAGGTCCCGCAGAATGGTTTTGGTGAAAATTAAAATTTTGAGAGTCACCCCATCAGCTTACTACCATTCCTTCAAGTCGCTCTACAAAGCGATAGTCGTCAATTTGATCCGCCCTTGGAACTGCCACTGTCGTCATTAGACAGTATTTTCCTAGTCACCTTG